GATGGCATAAAGGCTTCTTTGCTTCAGCCTCCACACAAAAGTTTAATTCCATATAACCAAATTAAACAAGGGGATACAAGTATAAGGTAGAATAAGAAACAAACCGGGGGACTGAACGTTATATATGGCAGTCAACAGCATTTAATGAAATTCACCCTTGGAAACAAATTGTCTAGAGAACTACAGGAAGATGGAAGAAGTCATCAAGTACTACAGAAGAGAAAAAGAAAAAGGAAAAGAAAAGTAAAAGAAATCACAAGATGGGTAAATAAAAATGCAGGAAGTAGTAGATGACTCAGCCTAACTCACATTTCAGAGAGATACTAGCACAAAATTATTTAACAATTGGCAGCATTAAAGGATAAAGGCAATTGGCTTGACAGAGTCTAGTTTCTTTAACAGGCTAATTGTCCTAGTGACTAGGAGAAAAGCAACACAGGACACAAGACTTAGGACACAATAAAAAATACATTCTCCCACTCAAGCTAGACTAGGATTGGGACAAAGTTATGCAGAACGAAGTTCAAAATTAGGGTTGGTTGGTTTGTTTGTTTTTAATAGTTCTCAGCCACCAGCTGCAGATGTAGTATAGCGTTTATAGTGAGGTTCTCCAGGTATGCTATTTAATATTCTTAATCATGCTTTGGACAAAGGAATAAGGAATAGAACAAGCAAATGGCACCAAGCTGAAAGGTGGTGAAAGCTATGTGCCAAGACCATTCTGAGTTAAGATGACTCAAAAATCAAAACAATGAAATCCAAGAAAGACAGCATAAAGCACAACAGGCCCCATGACTGCATAAAGAAAAACCCTACTTAAGTAACAAAAAGATACCAGAGTCTACTGGATCAAGTAGATTGCAAGGCACAGAGAAGCCAACATTGTGATACTATTGCATAAAAGTGAAATACTCATTCAGGGAAGTATCAACATCAGACACCATAATTTAGCAAGATTCCGGAAAGGCACAGTCTCACTAGACCTTACGCTAGAAATGACTCAGCTGAAGGTCTGTCCTTATTCTGGGCTACTACTGTAAGAAACAGGTGTGTCAACTGAAAAGTACAGAATAAAGAATCATGACGTAAATGGGAGAAAACTGTCACCTGATGATGGATGAGAAGCTGGACATGAGCAGGTAGTGTGCACTTGCAGCCCAGAAGGCCAATCACATCCTGGGCTGCATCAACAGAAGTGTTGCCAGCAGGTCCAGAGAGGTGATTCTGCCACTTTACTCTGGTGAGACCTCACCTGGAGTATTGTGTGCAGGTCTGGAGCCCTCAATATAAGAAGGATATGGACCTGATGGAGCGGGTCCAGAGGAGGGCCACAAGGATGATTGGGGGGTTGGAGCACCTCTGCTACGAGGACAGGCTGAGGGAGCTGGGGTTGTTCAGCCTGGAGAAGAGGAGGCTCCAGGGAGACCTAATAGCAGACTTCCAGTACCTGAGGGGGGCCTACAGGAAGGCTTGGGGAGACCCTGTTTATAAAGGCTGTCAATGACAGAACAAAGGGTAATGGCTTTAAACTGGAGAAAAGCAGATTTAGATTAGACATTAGGAATAAATTCTTTACTATTAGAGTTGTGGAGCACTGGAAGAGGTTGCCAAAGGAGGTGCCTGAGGCCCCATCCCTGGAGATATTCAAGGTGAGGCTCGATGAGGCCCTGGGCAACCCGGTCTAGTTGGGGGTGTCCCTGCTGACTGCGGGGAGGTCGGACTAGATGACGTTTGTAAGTCCCTTCTGGCCTGGATGATTCTATGATTCTATGACCTATAAGAAAGGGCTGATGCAATTTTGTTTCTGTAAAAAAAACCTAGAGACAGAAAATGGGTATACATGGAAACCATAACCCAATAACCAAAGAATTACAAATACAGTGGGTAATACACTGGGTATAGGGAAGTATAAATCAGCTTATCTTACAAAACAGAAAGGTTAGATATCTGGAAAAACACCAAGGGGTAAAAAACACTATAAATAAGCTGTCTAAAGGGGTTATAGTCTCCTTCACAGGAGACTCATCAGGACAAGATTATATTAGAAGTTGCCCAGATTTACCGATCCTCTTTCAATATGGGAGAGGGTTTAACTCACTGGAAGACCTTTTCCATCCTGAGTTCCTAGGGCAACATGGTTAAGCCAAATGAGACATGTTAGGCTTCTTAGAACCATCCATCATTATAATGAACCCAAATGTATTCAAAGCTTTTACTACTTTAGTAATTGTGGAAAACAAATGCTAATCTATTTTGCTTGGCTTTGGTACAATTCAGCTAAACAAGCCATTTTTAACTTGCAGAACCTACCTCTGACCCTGCAGTACCCATTAAAAAAAGTTGGTCGAGAGAGCATATCTCCTAAATCCATGATTAGATCTGAGATCTTGGAAAGAGAAGGCTAAAATTTTTTCTTCCTGTTCAGCAGCTCTGACATCATTAGTTATCACAGGAGGGGAAGAGAGAAAGTTTACAGAAAGCGATAGGTTTCTCTCAGCTCCATGTTTGTTTCTTTGGTTACATAAGGTATATACCAGTAGAAGTCACAACGACAGCTACCTAAATTTCTGGTCAAAGACGACTGGTGATATAACTCCTATTTTCAATATGATGCAAAAAGAAACAACTAAGCTAGGTTTAAATCAGCTGTCAAAGTTAGATCAAACGGGCCCTAGTGGGTCTTAGCCCCATATCAAATGAAATACTGTTCATTTTGTTCTGGGGAGATAGCATTAAAAAAGAAGAAGAAAAAAAAGGCCAAGCTATATAGACATCAGGAAGAATGACAGAAAAAAACCAAACAAACATCAAACCAGAAATACCAATCACATGCTTAAAACAAAAAAGCACATTTTTTTCATGATCTGCTTAGAGTAATGGATTAAAATATGTCAGGTTCAAAACTACCAAGATTTAACAACAGATTTAACCTTAAAAAAACCAAACACACACACATACCCCAAAAAACCCCAAACCAAAACCACCTACTTATGTAGTCTTTCTGTAATATAAGCATTACCTTCTTTTGACTGGCTAACCATTGCATTCTCTATTGCCCACACACGCTACACCTATCAACAGCATCTAACAAAGCCACCCCAATCAATAAAAAATTACCTCATTGTTTTACACGGAAAACCAAAACTTCATTCAAGTTGATGTCTGCAAAATTCTGAAGTTTCTCTATATTTTTCAAGGAAAATAATTTCTAAATAAATTCCTAAATAATACCAAAGGTTATTTTTAAAAACTCTTTTGAAAAATAATACTGGATGTCCAGAATGACTAGGTTACCTAATGGCTATCTGCAGAGCAAAACTAACTATTTATTCATGCTCCTCTTTATAATTTAATATTTAAGCTAAAACATAAAACTTGTCATACAGAGCTTGGTGAAATATGGATAATATTTGACTTTTCCGCTCACTTCATTCCTGCAAATATTTCCTTCTCTGAACTGTCACAAGTTACAAACTGCTCTTCAGACAGTGAAGCTTGATTCAGTCATGTATTTGTAAAATCAGAGTGACAGGCAGTTCTTCCTCTTTTTCTCCTTCACAACCTTCCCCCTGACACACGCATGCGCACGTGCGCACGCAGAGGCTGCATACTGGAAAGCAGAAGAGAGTCCTTAACAAGCTGTTGTAAAACAGACATGTTAAACCAGATATACAAGATAAGTACCAACTCCCTCTGTCCTGAGCAGCACTGCATTTCCACAGAAATACAAATAGCACATTTGGTTAAATGTAACTGATTTGTGCTTATAAACATCCAGATGGTACATGACTAAACAAATTGCACATATTTTCCTGAAGAAAAATGACCTTGATATCCAAGTTAAAAAATTAAACGTTTTATTTATCCTTCTCAAAGCATAAACCAAACTCACGACAGCTTCAAGTAGAGACCTGTATTTCATATTTAGGAGATTGTCAGACATGCTTATAAAATACACGCACATATTGAATGGCCATGCTCTCGGGCACAATCAAGGAGCACAGACCAAATATCAAGCAAACATAGAAAGATAGCTTCCCAGTTCTTTATACCCCAGACTCTTCTGTCTGGTATGATTTAATGTTGGCTTTTCATACCTTAGGCTGGGAGAAAAGGAATGATTCAGTAATGGAGATCAATAGAGCATAGGACACGGAAGCTATGCCCCTATTCAGCTGGTTATATATGTCTCTACTTCAGCAGTACAGGCTGTTAAGAGGTATACATCCCAAATCCACAGAAATTAATCCTGACTTGAGATGACTTTCTCATTCTGGCTACAAATTTCAGGGACTATTTTATGTAAATGATACTGCATATAGCAGCTCGCCCAACATGTACTGGAGAGGAATACATAAAAAAAAATAAAATAATAACTTCATAGAAGTAACTTGCACTTGGTTTATCTCCTTACTTTTCCTCCTTCTTTACCCCTGAAAAAAGGAAAATACTTTGGGATTGAATGGTGTGCGCTATGTCTCATGGATTCATAGGTAAGATTAAGTTTTTAAGGAATTCAGAGAAAGCAGTAAAAGTAGTTCTAAAAAAATAAAATTAAATGAAACCATAAAAAGCATAAATTAATTACATCTTTGTACAACAACCTTTCTTCTCTTATTAGCCAAGAGATACTATTAGTCACGATATCCTTTGGAATTCTGACCTTTTTCCTAATGAGAAAAACCACAGAATGCTATGGACTCTGGAAAGGGAAAACTGATCACATACCCCTGCCTCCCTTTTTTCCTTTTATTTACACAGCAGAGCATCACACTAAGCATTTCAAAGTTTAAAAAGCTAGATTTGCAGTTCCTCCTGTAGCTCTCGCTACACTCCCCTGGATGCTCATCCTTCACACCAAACGGAGAAGCGGTGTGTCATAGCACGGATAAAAAAATGGGATCCTGCTACTAGAGACTAGGCTACAATAGCCATGCATAAAAACCACATTAAGAAAAGCAAAGTGACAGGCAATTTTAAATCTGGATGCTGTCACTAACCGAATAACAAGAGCGTTAATATGATCTGAGGAAGATGGAGCAGAGAGGTGATGGAGCAGTAATGCAGCCTCCTAGAAGACAGAAGAGAGTATCAAACGTATATGCCTATAGAGAGGATGCTACTCCTCTTACATATTTTTTCCCAGCAAGACTGGAACTCTGAAACTGCAGCTTTACAAGGCGACTAAATTACAATGACTAACCGTGTTAGATGGCAAAAAAAAAAAAAAAAGCCCCAAACCAAACACCTATTGAAGGACAGAAGAAGTGATGGCAAGTACTTGCTGCAGCAAGGTCTGTCCAAGGATCCATCCCAATTCTTGAAGGTCAACCAGGATTGATGTGTGTACTCCTGATTCCAATAGTGCCATGAAGAGCAAAAGGAAAGAAAGAATGGTAGTGTGCCCATGGTGGCAACTTTCTTTTGGCAAAGCAGTAATTGTGAGTAAGTCCAAATTCAGCAGCCCCACTATAACCTCCCCAGGAGCTGAAGAACCCTCTTCTGGGTTTTCAATGATATTATTATAATTGCCACTGCTGCTTTTACAATGATGCCAGTCCGAACTTTTTCAGTGTTCCAGCAATTACTTTACTTTTCATACAACATGAGTGACAGGGGGGGAATGACAATTTTCAAGTGTTTATGTCTCAGCAAAACTTAAACAATTTCATGGGGCGAGGAAATCAAACCACTTATTTAGCCTAAGGACTCTTCCTCTTGCCAAACTTCAATGGCTTTTGCAAACAATAGAGCTTCTCAAAGAGATCATACAAATTCTTTATAATGGAAACTATTAGGCAACCTAAATACAGAGTTCATTACTAGTTCCCTCTATAACACAGTATGTTAGGGTTCTATTCAGCATTCCTTACTTATGCTTCTAATGAACTTCAGCAGATTTGTCCAAGTAAAGAATGACTATTACAGCTCTAGGTTCCTTTCATTTATAAAACATCTTTCATCTAGAGAGATTTCAAAATGTTTTAAAGGTCACATGTAGAAAATTACTATATTCAGTACAGTCTCCTATCAAGAGGAACACAGCAATTTCTCAGTACCCAAGCAACAATACAGAACAATTTGGGTTAGAAAGTAACTAAGAAAGCCACGTCTACGGGGAGAATTTAGATCCTCAGCAACGTTACCAAACTGAAGTCTGGCAACGGTTCTACAGTAAAAGGTACAGGGATTTCCAACTGGCAGACAGGAGCTTAGTTTTACATCTGAGTCACGGCACATCTAACTGGCACCACGCTGGGGCACTCCTTTAATAATAACCCAAAGAAAAAGAGTACACCACTTCCTGCAGCATCCAGGATTTCTCGTGGACATCTCCCATCCAAGCACGGCCCAGTTTAACCATTCACAGTGACACTACCATGGACAAAGTTAATTTAACTCCACGATACAATCCGCTTTGAAAATTCAGTCTGGAAGTATATTAAAATATAATCAAGAAGTCGTAAGAATTATTTCCACTAATCTTAACAATTCCACCAGTTGTTAAAGATCATAATCCATGTCTAGCCTCTGGCATAAAAGATAATTCTTTCAGACAGGAGAAATTATTCAACAGTGAAAACATCCACAAACCCTACGCCACACCTGAAAATATATCTGTAAAGTTAATTATACGTGATTAATAAAAAAAAAAAATACAGCTGTTTTAATGAGCTTCGCACCTAATTTCCAGTGACCTTCAAAACCACCAAACTTGACTATGATTGCCTGTTTTTCCATCTACAAATCTGGTCATATTTAGCGAATCTTAACATGCGGAAGTAGACATTAAACCATCCACCACAAAGAAACACACTTCTCTGAACTAAGGAAACAGTGATTTACAGTGTCTTATAGACAAAGCTCTCATGGGTTAAAAAATGCAGTAGAAATTTTGAAGAACCATAGCACGCTAAGAACTATGCTGAGGCATCAACTGAATCCAACATTAAGCTTCAAAATGGAAGACTAATAAAGAAATAAATAAATAATGCATTCACAGTGTCATCAACACACCATAGTATCGTTACTCTGACGAACGATGAAAATCATTTTGTTGAATAGGCAGCACCAGTGAATGTTTTAACAGGGCCCCACTTTGGTCTCTTGGACTCCAGCTCCTTTAAAAAAAAAAAAAATCCACCCAAATGGCCTTTTGTGTCTCTTTGGCACCCTAATGATTCCCTCCATAGACACAAAAGTCTACTTACTAGCTCAAACCTAATTTCAGAATTAGGGCCTAAAACTGTCTGGCCTAAAACTTCAACCTGTGTTTGCCTCACATCATGAGATCTCATACCATACTGGGCTTTGCAAACATGTGGAAATGCATCCCGTTTAAACCTGATGGGAAAAGAAGCCCATAAACCTACACAGCTACACACTGTTTCAGAGTTTAAGTAGAGAAATAAAAATCAATGTATCAACTAAAGCTCTGCATACCAGATCGCTGTGGGGAAGAAAGAAGAAAAAAAACCCACCACAACTGAAAAAGACATTTTGTTGCTAAAATATTAAAAAAATATGAAATATTCAAGCAGGGAAAAAAGAAGGCAATAATAATATTGGTTTCTCAGGACTATTTATTTTCCCGTACTACTTTTTTTTTTTCAAGTTTCAGTGCTTTTATGCAACTGAATTTCTAGTGCAACATAACATAATTTTAAACTGACTCTGCCTATCAAACTGACTGGAGGTTAAAGAGGCTTTATTCATGCTGTTTTAATGATTTTTGCATCCGTTACTTCAGCAGTATTATTTTGCTGAATATTACCGATCTGTACACATCTATCTGCGCTATAAACACAATGCCATTGTTACAACTGGAAACCACACCATACGTGACACATGAAATTCCTCTCCACGCACTTCATGTCCTTGGTTTAAGAAGAAAATAAAAATCAACTAGTGTTCAGAACTGAAGTTATGAGAAGCCCTTCCGATATTCAGTCTGGTTTTCAGAAGCCTAGGAAATGTACTCAAGAAATAGAGATGAATCTTTTTTTGCCTAGTAATTGGACCCAGCCTTGCAGTTCCAATTTCAAACCTGTAACGTTTGTTTGCAAGTCATATTCAGCACTGCTTTGGCGGATATCTAGAATGTAATTGCTGCTTTTCATAGGATCGCAACTTTTCATTGCCACTTAAAACTTCTCTTGCTGCGGGGATTAACCCATAGGTATGACAGCCATAACAAAGGATTCTTTAGCAATATTCTCTCTGGTCAGCAGGCCACGGCTAGAAGTGCACTCCTGTTGGTTTTATTAAAAAGCCTCCATCACCCAAGCACGCACAGGTTAGGCCACGATACCCAAAAAAAGAAAACCACCCGGCAGAGGCAGGAACCAGGTAATCCACCGCTCGCTTTCCGAGGGGCACAGGAGAGACAAGGTCCCCCCTGGGAAGTCAGGGATGTGCAGGGTGGCACTTCTTCCATCAGCGATTCAGCGATTCAGCTAATCTACAAATTCCTCCCCTT